AGCGGCCTGGAAAGGAAGTTTGGGGGAGGGGCCTGAGGAGTCTTGGTTGCCAGGCCAGAATGTGGTATTGATACATTAAGGCAATGCTGGAAATTCACTGAATGTTTCTGAGCAGCAAAGAGCAGGCAGCAATGGGGCAGAGGTGAGGAGGCCATTTCTGAGATGGCTGAAGACAGCAATGTCTGTAAGGCCCATAGCAGGGAGGGGCAGGCAGGCTAGAGACAGCTAGAGGATTAACAAGGCCTCAGGAGAGGCTGGGCATTGAGAACAAAAGGCAAGAGCAGTCAAAGGTGATGCTGGGACTTCTTGTTGGGGACCCTAGGAGGCAAAGATGATGAGGGAGGGAGCCCCCTGTGGTGGAGATAAGGAACTCCAGGAAGCAGACTTGGAAATGCCCAGAGGCTGATGGGCCATCGGGGTCCCCTGGGAGAGTGGCTGTGGGCTACCGCCTCAGAGTTGGGTGTCACTGGTGTGAGGTGGGAGGAGTACTAGCGCGTATGAGTGGCTGAGGTCACCCAGAGAGGAGAAAGGAGCAAGTCACATGAAAGGAAAAGAAATGGGGCACAGAGCCAAGGCAGTAAGGGGTGAGTTGCCCAGGATCCGTGGCTGGCTTCTGGCTTCTTGCCCCACTGAGCTCTGCCTGGGAGGGTCAAGCAGGCCTCTGGCTGTCTCCGCCTGACACGCGGGCTCTATGAATGACGTCAGTCCCAGCAGAAGGTGGGCAAGTGGCACTAGCCACAACCCCTGGCACTGAGTGACTGGGGAAGGCTGATCCTGGGCTCCTCTTGGCCACAGGTGACAAGTATTGGGTGTTTAAGGAGGTGACAGTGGAGCCTGGGTACCCCCACAGTCTGGGGGAGCTGGGCAGCTGTCTGCCCCGAGAAGGCATCGACACGGCTCTGCGCTGGGAACCTGTGGGCAAGACCTATTTTTTCAAAGGCGAGCGATACTGGCGCTACAGCGAGGAGCGACGGGCCACAGACCCCGGCTACCCCAAGCCCATCACCGTGTGGAAAGGCATCCCGCAGGCTCCCCAAGGGGCCTTCATCAGCAAGGAAGGATGTACGTAAGGGCCTGGCCATGGGGGGGTGGGGGGGTGGGTTCTGCTTGTATGTGGGTCTCAGTAGGGCCCACAGCCACACTCTCAGAGTATTCAGGTTTGAGAAACACTGCCTAGTGGCAAAGACAACTGCCTCATAGCCACCTATGTTCACACAGTAAATTCTCTCTTACCAGCTACCAAGTCACAATTTCTCATCTGCAGGAATGATTCACGATTGAGCGATGTTTTCATAGACTGACTTGATTCCTTCAGACAGCATTCCTCAAACAGTGGTCCTCAGATGTACTCGAGGGAGTTATCAGATCTGAAAAAGCAATGACGGATATGGTGGTTCTAAGGTGTTCTTTCACAGGGCTCGAGGGCAGGAAGATGGAGAGAGAAGCCATTTTTGTTTACTAAGCTCCTTCTGAAGGCCAAACTAGGAGTTCCTCAAGAGGAGGGGCGGGGTCTTGCCAGGGGTACAGTGGGTATCCATGAATGTTTGTTCAATGCATCTCCGCTGATCTGGTCAAAAGCACAGGCTCTGGAGCCAGCCTGGCTGGTTTCACATTCCACCTCCACCACTTACTATGAGCTTGGGCAAATCACGTAAGTTTTCTCATTTTCTTCATCTACAAGGTGGGAATAATGGTACCTACCTTGTAGGGTTTTGTGAGAATTAAATAACATAAATTACATGCAGCACTTAGACCAATGCCTAGCACTTAGGCCCATGCCATGTAAGTTTTAGCTGCCATCACCGTCATCATCATCATGTGTGTGTTTTAGTTTATATGGAATCACAGGAGTCATTCACTCACTCCACAATAATTACTTAGAGCCAGGTTGTGTTGGAGGGCAGGGGATGGAGCAGGGAACAAGACTGCCAATGCATCCCTTTCCCAGGCTAGAGGCAGAAAAATAAAGTGGCAACAAATGCTATAAGGAAAAGAAATACTGTGAGAGAGCAACTAGGCAGAGGGTGCCACGTTAAAGGTCGTTGGGAAGGACTCTCAGAGGAGACGTCACTGGTAAGAAAGCCAACGGCCACAGGGACAGAGCTGCTATTTGGTGGCTCTCCTGTGTACCTAATGCTTTACACACGTGGTCTCCCTTTCTGGAGAGCCTCAGAGACAGATGACATCAAAGACTTTGGCCAATGAAAGTCCCAGCCAGGGTGGAGAGACAGCCAATAAGAGAGTCTGAACACATTATTTTGTGTCTGTGGACTGGCTGGCTGCTAAGGCTGTTGCTGGGAGCCTTGGGGTGGCTCCCCAGCCCCTGCTGCCTTTTTTCCTTCCAGATTGCAGAGACCCTGCAATCTGTGTTGTGAAGTGATGTGTGCCAAACCAAAAAAATCCCTAATTGTGAAGGGGTGGTATCAACAGGAGAAATCTTACTCCTTGTCTCCCTTGGCTCAGACAGGAGATGGACTGAGGCCCTAGAGCTATGGAGATGGTGCTGTCCAAGCCCTAAGGTGGGGACTTGATATGACCCACATGGGGTTGCCTATGGGAAGTGTGACAGAGCTGTGGCCCCAGGCTGAGAAGGGTTCCATCTGGGAGGCACAAATTACTAATTCTACTTAAAGCCCCTCAGTGGCTCTGCAGAGCCTTTGAGAATATGGGGTGGGCTGTTCCAGGTCCTGGGTGCCCCTCTCTGCAGCTACGCAGGTCATCCTCCATGACCCAGCCACACTATTTACAAGATGTGCCCATCACTGCACTCCCCCCACTTCCAAGCATTCCAAAGCACTGCTCCCAGCACCTCATATGTCCACCCCTCCTGCAGAGCTCCTCTGGGGCTCCTCCAGGGTGGAGAGGTGCCCCTCGTCCACACTGCCACCCTCCCACACTGGCCGAGAGCAGGTGCAGAGAAGTGTCTGGGAGTGGTGATGCTGGGCCATGTTTCTGCAGATTACACCTACTTCTACAAGGGCCGGGACTACTGGAAGTTTGACAACCAGAAACTGAGCGTGGAGCCTGGCTACCCACGCAACATCCTGCGTGACTGGATGGGCTGCAACCAGAAGGAGGTGGAGCGGCGCAAGGAGCGGCGGCTGCCCCAAGACGACGTGGACATCATGGTGACCATCAATGACATGCCAGGCTCTGTGAATGCAGTGGCCGTGGTCATCCCCTGCATCCTGTCCCTCTGCATCCTGGTGCTGGTCTACACCATCTTCCAGTTCAAGAACAAGGCAGGCCCTCAGCCTGTCACTTACTATAAGCGGCCAGTCCAGGAGTGGGTGTGAGCAGCCCAGAGCCCTCTGTCCACTCAGTCTGGCCAGCCAGGCCCTTCCTCACCAAGGTCTGAGGGGCAGCTCTGGCCACTGCCCACCGGAGCCAGCAGGGCCCTAGGCTAGGGGTCATGTAGTTGAAGTGGTGGGTGCATTGGCCTAGGCTGAGCATGGGGCAGGGAGTGATGGCGGCTGTGCCCCAGGATGGGTGTCTGGCACCCAGCCGCCAGCCTTCTGTCCTGGACTAACTGCTCCCTACTCAAGGGAATAGGCCAGGCCTCACACCAGGAGGCCCTGTGGTCACTGCATCCTGTGGTGCCCATGAGGCACCACAGCTCTGTTCCTGGCTGGACCCAGCACCTTCTGTGGGAAGCCAGCACTAGCGCTCTCAGCCCCATCTGAGAGAAGCCACCAGTCCTGGTCCCCCTCTGCCAACACCTGCTGGTCAGATGTCCCCCCCCCACCCCCACCCCACTGTTTTCCAAGGCTACAGGACCCCTGCTGCAGACATGGTAGGCAACAAGCCTGGGTTTCCCCTGCTGGTATGCAGCAGATTCCTCAGGAAACCTGCTCCACACACCAGGGTCTCCTCTGAGACCCATGATTTAGGGTCACATGCTGCAGGCAGGGCTGTGGCCCAGCTGGGTCTGACAAGAATCCAGCTGTCACATCTTGAATATTTAAATGTTCTGTCACTACTGTTTAAAGTCCCATTCTGCAAAGGCTGCTTGAGGCTTTAGGTGAATTAGATAGAGGTGACTGTCTTGGTGATGAAGCCAGTGTGACAAGCCCTCCCCCAGGCAGTAAGGCCCAAGGTGCTGCTAAGGCCCCTCTAACACCTAGACAGCCTGGGAGCTGGGCCCTGTTCATGAGGCTAAAGGGCTGGGGCAGGAGCTGACCCCATTTCTGGAGGCTGATTTGAGTTTGTGACCGTCCTCCACTCCCGTCTCTCCTCATGCCCCCGGTCTCCAGCCTGTAGCTTGTGGTCTGGGGGCTCAGCCTAATTAGTTAGGGGAGGCAGAAATGGCTCCAAGCCATCATTCTCATGGCCTTGGGATAAGGGGCTCAGGGCAGCCTTCTAAAGTGCCCAGAGCCCACACCCAGAGCTACCCTGAGGCTGACTCGATTTCAACCTGGAAGCAGTGTTCATATCACGAGCTTGGCCCTTGCTAAACCAGCTCCCAGGGCCCATCTTCCTGCATTGCTCTTTGGAAAAGGGCACCCCCAACTGGTAGCAGCCTCAAGCCTATGGGCCCACCCATCACTGTCTCTGGCAGGGATTCCTAGGGCTCAGCTTGTCTTACTCCAACCCTGGAGGCAGCCCTGTTGTCACTGAGAAGCCCTAGGCAAGACCAGTGGGTTCATTGATGCCTGTTGGCTCTCTGGCCAAATCTAACAGGTGGTGTCAGTCTTCAGGGTGCTGGCAGGGCCTCAGATGCCACCCTGGCCCTGAGCCTGCATGGGCCTTGCCCCCATCCCATGGCCTGTGGGCTTTGGGCCAGCTTATCCTGTAGCAGACAGGGACTCCTGCTGTCCTGGGAGCTGTCTCAAGCAAAGTCTCTTGTCCCAGAGGCATCTATTTGAGTCCAGTGTTCCCTGTCATTTTCCTTCTGTTTTGGTTTTTTGTTTTTTTTTTTCTCATTTTGGCCAAGGGCGGGCTCCCTGGGGCAGGTGGGGAACAACTGCGGAGATATTAGTGATTCATAGGTTTGTACAGTGTTTTATACTTTGCAAAGCACTTTATTAGCTCACACCTGTCCACTCACATGAAACTTGTGTAGGCCCTGGGAGGCTGAGGGTAACTCTCACCATGCCCTCAAATGAAGCACAGAGAGGTTGTTACATGCCCAGGCCATCCAGTGGGCTGGTTGGGCCTTGGGTCCCCACCTGTGGACCCTTCTAGGGTCCAAGATGAGATCAGAAGTGTCTCTTTTATCCATCTTTTCCTGGCTTCCCTTCTCCCCTTCCTGGTCCCTCTCCACTCCTCAGGTTGGTGCTCTCCACTTCTTGAAAGCTCTAGGCGCCCCCCCCCCCAGGCTCCCCGTTGGCTCCTGGTACTACCAAGGTCAGCTGAGAAAGAGCAGGAGATGGAGGCAGGCAACCCAGGCTGCAGATGTGAGGGATGCAAGTCCAGGCCCAGAGAGGGCTCAGTCTGGATGCTTCCAATCTCGGATTCTCTTGCCTTGTGGTAGATCATCTGTTTGTCCATCGCCCCAGGACAGAGCAGACAGAGGGGCAAAGCACTGGGGTCCTCAGAGCCCAGCTTCTCCTTGGCCTGGGGAACATCACAGCATTTCAGTGTCAGTCACATTTTAAACTGATCAGCCTTTGTACAATGTTTTTTAAATCATTTCTAAATAAAACAAAAATACAAAGTGTGTCATTTCACTTGAATGTGGGAACAAAGATCAGGATCTGAGAGTGGCCTAAGAAGCTTCCGGGGGAAGGGAAATAGGGTGCTTTGGGATGCCTAGGAGTTGCCCCATACATCTCATCTGCCGGCCCAGCAATCAAATATCCCCCCTCTCCAAAAGGCTGGCCCAAGAGGCCCAGTGTTACTGGGTCCCAGGAATACAGCCTCATAATGCCTCCCTGGGATCCAGGCTGGCAGAGCAACCTTCCCGAGGAGGACGGGAAGGGTCACTATGGCAAGGTCTTCTCTCAAGTACATAGTGCCATGACCAGGAACAAAAGAGCCCAGTTCTCAGCAATAAAGGGCAGATAAGGTGAGGTCAGGTCAGCAGCCTTGGGGTCTTACCAAGAGCCCTGGCCTGGTTCTGGAAGTCAGTGACAGGGAGGGCTGCCCCAGAACCCATACTGCAGGGGTTGCAGGGAGGGGATGAACTCGAAGGTCTGAGCTGGTATGGGTGCAGCCTGGGAAGCGAGCAAATTCCGGGTGCTGCGAGAGGACAGAGGCGAGACGGTGCCCCGTGGCGAGGATGTGGCGGCAGCCCAGCCGGGAATTCCCTCCAGTCCCCCACGACCTCCTCGACTCTCAGAGCGTCTCCCGGGCGCCAGTCAGGGGGCCGGGGCGGGGGTGGGAGGAGGGTAGTTTAAGAGAGACACCGGGCCGGGCCAGTGACAACGGCCTGACCAGGCGAGGCGGAGAGAACAACAGGAGGTGAGCGGTGACTCGGAGGGCGCAGTCAGTACCAAGACGTGCAGGCGATGAGGAAGCGCACGTCGTCCAGTGGCCCCCAGGGACCGGGCTCCGGCCGGGGCCGCTCAGGGCCCTCGGGCGCCGCGATCTGAGGCTGGAGCTGAGCCGGCTCCGCCGCGCCGTCACCGCCGCTCAGCTGAGCGCCCATTATCTGCAGGACAGGCCGGTGAGGTGTGGGGCCAGCCGCACACCACCCGGCCCCTGCCCCGCCCCACTCCGCCCCTCGCCTCACCTCGCGCAGCTGAAGCCTCTAGAGTACTTCAGAGCAGACCTCCACGCTCAGCTCGCCTGCGCAGGGGCACCTGGAGGGCTGGCGCCGTGACGTCACCGCGCGCCGACACCGTCTTCGGGCCGCAGGAACGGAGTTTCCGGCCACGGGGGCGGGGCCCAGCAAACTCGACCACACCCACCAGCAAATGGCCAATCCCGCACCAACATCCTGGGGACCCGCCCCGTGTGCAACCCGGAGACTAATGGAACGCCCACCCACGCTCCTAAGGTAAGGGTCCTGCCAAGGCATGTCTGAGGCTGTCCAGGGCGCCTGGCAGCCAGGCCAGCAACCTCCATCCACCTTGGGTTAAAGAGGGTAAGATTGAATGGTTAGGAACTGGCTTGGGACGCCAGAGGGCCCCGGTTCAGATCCCACATGTGAGGGCCAGTGACACTGCCCTCTACAAAAAAAAAAAAAAAAAAGAGAGTGTAAGATTGCCCTGTAGCCAGGTGCCCCAGAGCCCTTGCACAGGGCTCTGCCCCAGGGTCCTCACAGCACCCCAGGGGAGAAATGAAACAGGTTCTCGTTTTTAATTGTATGAGACTGAAGTTGGGCAGAAAACATGAGAACTGCCGTGTGGCGTGAGTGATTGTGGAACTGGGGTATGTGCGCACATCCTACCCCGCCTTTCCCCTGGAACGATGGTGGGGGCTAGGTTCAGGCCGAAGTCGCCAAATACATTCAGAATTGACAGAAGCAGATGCCTTTAATTGGGTAGTAGAGGGCAGCGGAGCTCTCAGCCAGGGGCCATAGCACCACCACGACATGGCAGATTTTGCAGTAACTAGATTCAGAAAATGGGCAAAGGTGAAGAAGGGCTGGGCATCCGGCCACTCGATACCGGTGAACGGCCACCTCCCTGCCAGCATCTGGAACAGACTTGGGTGGGGCGCGGTAAGGGAGCCAAAGTCCAGAGGCAGAAGCCCGTGTAACAACATGGAAAGTGATTCAGGTAAGGCTAGAGAAAAAGGAAGCAGCATTGTCAGTAAGTGCTTCACAGACAGACCACGCCCTCTCCCTCTGTTTTCTCCAGGTGCTTGCCACCACCCTTACCCCAGGCCCTTTGTTCCAGTTCAGGCCTGAAGAGCCACACTCAGATCCCCTTCCAGGTTTCATGCTCCCATGAGTCACAATCCAGTCTAGAACTCTGAATGCTTAAAAATGAAAAGTAACTCCTTCCCCAATTAGGTGCATCAAAACTCAGTTTATTCAAACTCGTATTGGTCATAAACCGGAGCCTCAGAGCTCCAGTCCAACAGACATTAGAGAAGGGAACAAGGAGGCTCAGATAAGGGAAGACATGTGCCTAGACCACAAATCCCCCAGTGGCAAGGCTCAGACCAGAACATTCTTCCTGCAGGTGGTAATCATGTGCATGATTATAAAAATGAAGTATATATTTCTAATGGCCTGCCCAACACCTTCATTGTGAGGTCTCACTGGCACCTCAAAATCAATGGGTTCAAAACCAAAGGAAGCTAATGAGTTTTGTATCTTCCTTTCCAATACGTATTTCTTTATCTTATCAAACTGGAATGCTAACCAGTGCTGCTGACCATAGGCAATTCTGCATGACTTTTATAGCAGCTTCTGAAGTTTCACCACTCAATGCAACATTTGCTATAGTTTTTCAGAAAGTACCAATGATGAGGTTACAGAAATTTCTGTTCTTAGCTTAAGAGGGTTTTTTTGTTTTGTTCTTTAGTTAAATGATTAATGGTATAAATACTATCTTATGAGGTTCTATGTTCCAAGAGGGCAGGGAGGGTATATTCTATTTATCACCACATCACTATTGTCTGGCACATAATAGGTGCTCAAAAAAAGTTGTTGAACAAATGACAAAAACACTGGTACCACTTTCCTCTTCAGACCCTCTCAACTGCTCTCCAGTGCTGACAGCAGTTTGTCAGTGTGGTCTCCAAACTGCCCCATCAGAATCACACAGGGAAGCTTATTAAAATAACCACACATGGATAGGCCCCACTCCAGACTGAGGGAATCATTGGCTGAGGGGTGATGCCAGGAATGTGTGTCAACAAACATCCTGACACTCATCAAAGGTCAAAACCACCGGCCTACAATCAAAACTTCTTGACATGGGGGAGGAGGGTTGAAGGGCTGGGTGAAAAAGATGAAGGGATTAAGTACAAACTGGCAGCTACAAAATAGTCACAGGGATGTCAAGTATAGCACAGGGAATATAGTCAACAATATTGTAATAACTGTATGGTGTCAGGTGGGTAATAGACTTATCAATGATCACTTCATAAGTTATACAAATGTGTAACCTCTATGCTGTACTCCCGAATGTCAACTGTAATCGAAAAAAAAAACAAACTTCTTGACATAGGCATTCAGAGTCCTCAACACTCTAGGAATAACACCTTTCCCCTTCATACCCTCCACACTTCTCCATCTCTGTGTCTGAAGTGCTTCCCCACTCTTTCTATGCATGTTCAATTATCTACCCATACCCTGAAGCCCAGACTAAATGAACTGTCCTCCATGAAACCTTCCTGGATCCCAAAAAGTGTCTCACCAGAGCTTCCCAAGCCACTTAAGGCACCTTTTATTTTTTCATAAAAGTTATGTGCGGCCACTACAACTTCTCTTGCCTGATACACTGGAGCCCCTTAGAAACAGGAGTAGCACTAAGTTGCCTGACTAACCACCCATGGAAGGTTCAGTGAACATCAGGCAAATGAATAAATGCAGGAGAGAGAGTGAGGGGAAACTCTGCCCACAGTAAGTAGCAAGTCTCCTACTGGGCACTTGCTCTACTTTGCGGTTTCTATCCTTACAAAGACACCTGTGCTAGTTGGGTGTGACATGCCTTGAGAAGGATCCTCGATGGGGGGATGAAAGAGGGGACAGCTGAATATCCAGCACCTGCTGCTCTTCCGAAGGAAGAAGAGATTCTACAGCCTCACACCCCAGAATCTCCAGGCTTAGGACCTAAGAACCCACTTAAAAAAAAAAAATCCAGATGATTGTAATTTTCATGCCATCCCCACCACCTGAGTCCCTTAGGCCCCGTGGTCTCCTCAGTTCCTAAGAGCAGCTTCCCCTCCTTCCCTCAGTGAACAGCTCTTTTCTGTCTCAGTCTGCTGGCTGGGGACCTGACACACAGGCAGATACAAACTACAAAATAGAGTGGTAAGTGATAACATAAGACCAAGAGGGAAGCTTTGCCCAGAGACACACTGAGCCAAGTCTTCAAAGACGGGGATGAGCAGATACTCAGGCAGTGCTTGCTGGCTGTACCCTGTGCAGGTGTGCCCTCACACGAGAACCTACTGGTATGAATACAGCGTAGCTCCCACTGAAGGTGGCATCTCCTTCCCCTCCCCTCAAAAGGCAGAAGAGAGGACCAAATACCTGTCAACGAGGGAATCCCGCATGCTGGTAGCAATGGTGCTAGGCTGGGCTTCGTTCAGCTTGAAGACACTCTCCATCACCGACAGCTCTGTGCTGGTTGTGTCCAGGCCACAGAAGGCACACCAGTCGTTCACCACCATCCCAGCGCCGATCACTTCGCTACCTCGGTTCACAGTGCCTGCCTACCAAGTGATGGCTCAATGTGGATCATGGCATCAACAACCAAAGTCTGTACCTTCCCTGATAAGGACTCTCCCCAAATCCTGCTCCCTGTCCTGCAACCCGAACCCCAGACTCTGATGGGTAATAACCCAGATTCCCAAATACTGGGCAAAGGGATCTGCTTCAGCAGGAGACAGAGGTCAGAGAACAATAATGCTTACCACAAGGGGAACCTGAAGGAGAGACGACAGCTCATCCTGGTCTTCAATTGAAGTCTTCGGATGTACCAGCCCTCCCTGATTGCTGAAGACACAATAGCTTCCTACTAGCACCTGCTCAGCAACTGTCTGTCTGAAGACTTCAACTTTGAGCACATCAGCCAGGATTTCTTCTGTTTCCTATCAGTCAAAAATACTGTGCTTAGGGCCCAGAGCTTGCAGGTCAAAGAACCTTGGGGCCTCTATGCCCAGAGCCACCCAGGGCTTGAAGCCCTAAGCCCCTCATTCCTCTGCTATGTAGTTTCATATGGAAGCTTCACCCAGAAAAAGGAGAGGATACAGCTTGGAGCAAAATCTAGGCCAGCTATGGAGTCCCTAATACCCATTCATGCCCTGAACATCCAGGAGCTGGTCTCCATGCCACCCTCTTCCCTCTAACTCATACTCAAGAGTTCAACTGTCTTATCTTTCCTGGCCCCGGATGTAGGAGCACATGGGTCAGTCTCCCTATTTCTTAAGGATTAGTACCCTCCCCAGCTTCTTTCTGACACTGACCACACCATGGAAAGCCTCGATTATCACTATTCCAATAAGGGCTTGAAATGTGAGCACCCAGGTATAAAGAGAAACCACAAGAGATACCATACCCCTAAGTCCTGCCTGATAGGCAAGAACTGTGGCTAACCACTGGCTAGTCCTGTGACTCCTGGGCCAAGCTAGACTGCCTTACCCTGTCCAGGTCTGGGTGGACCAAGGCCACGTAGTCATTGCAGGTGGTGACATTGCCCAGGGCTGAGAGCCGCTCCTCCACCCGACGTATCTGCACTGAGTCTGGGAGGCTGTTGCGAATGTGTTGCAGCTCCTGGTCGGTGGTGTTGTTGGGCACCAGGAGGCCATGCCTGTTTCCTGGAAAAACCCAATAAGGGGTGGGGCAAGGAAGCACCATGAATACACAAAAAGCCTGCTGAACCCTAGGGGCTGAGGAGACAATCCAGCCCAATCAGCTTCCCCAGAAAAGCTTTAGGCCCAGACTCCAGCCCTCCAATCTACTGATCCATACAACACCCAGGTGGGACTGGGAGCCCCACTGGGCAGACCAGACAGAGATGGCCCAGGAGTCTGTCCCAACACACCCTACCCAATTTGCCATCATCAACCCGGGGGACCAGACCTAACAGGAAGGGCTCTTGGCATTAGTTGTATATTTTGTTACCTACCAAAATGGCTAAAATTTAAAAAAAAAGTCAATACCAAGGTGGTAAAAATACGTGGAACAAACAATAGGAGTGTAAATTGGTCAACCACTTCAGATAATTATCTGGCATCATCTACTACATTGAATATTCACATATGCAGTGTGATTTAAAAAAAAATACGTGAATACTGCTGCCAAGTGCCATCCAACAGAAAGGCAGGGATCTTCAATTTATTGTGTTTTGGGGCCTTGATGGAATTGTGCGAGCTGAGTTTATACCCAGGAATACTATGGTGAACTCTGAATGTTATAAGGGCTTATTTGAACGGTTAAGAAATGATGTGCATAGAAAACGGCCTGAGAAATGGGCAAATGGTTTCATCCTCCATCATGACAACACTCCATGTCACACATCACTTTTGGTACTGCAATTTCTGTCAAATAAAATCATTATGATGTGTCCTATCCACCTTTTTCACCAGATCTGGCACCGTACAACTTCTGGCTCTTCCCCAAAGTCAACATGACCATGAAAGATAAACATTTTGAATCGATTCAGGGCACTGAGGCAGCCACAACAGTGCAACTAAAAATACTCATGAAAGAGGACTTCCAGAACTACTTCAGAAAGTGGCAAGAACGATGGGATAAGTGTGTTCAACGTGAGGGGGGAGTATTTTGAGGGGGATTAATGTCAATATGTCTTTTTCTGTAATATATTTTTTTAATTTAAACATTCACCATATTGTTTGATCACACCTCATACATAAAATGTACTACATAGCAACAAGAATGAACAAACTAAATTATATTGTGACAACAATGACTAAACCTCTGCCTCTCTCTGCAAGGACACAATTCTGTGAACTTTTGAACTCTGAGTTACTTCCATCATCATTAAAAAAAAAAAAAAAAAGCACACACACAAAAGGTCAGGATAGGGCCGGCCGAGTGGCTCAGCTGGTTAAGAGCTCACTCAAGAGTGCAAACTCTGAGCAACAGGGTTGCCGGTTCGAGTCCCAGCTTGAGCTGAGCTGCCAACAAGTGGCAGGATGGCTCAGCAAAAAAGAGAGAGAGAGAGAGAGAGAGCGCGAGAGAGGGTGAGGAAAGGTCAGGATAAATTCTTCCTTAAATCATAGAACTTTTAAGTCCTATGGTTAGGGATAAGAATGTTTTGCCTGAATAAGAAAATCCTCAGAGGCCAACATCATCCAGATTATGATAAAAATAAATAAATAAAAGAAGAAACTCCTATATGGCCCCAATGAGCAGAACTAGAAATAAGGGGTGGCAGTGAAGGGAGACAGATCCAGGTCAAAGAACAGACCAATGGCTAGAATCAGCCCTGAGAGGTAGGAGGGTAGGAAAGGGATGCTACTCAGAGACATGGTGAAGGGAATGTAAGATTTAAAAGGATAACTGAACAAGATGACCCAGAATCTTAGCCTGTCATTTTTAGAGGCAGCAATGGCTACTCAGAAAGAAGTAGCAACTTGCCCAGAGTCAGTGACAAAGGAGAGATGACGTTCCAATCTTGCCTCACACCAGGTGTGAAGCTTGGTGAGTCACTTGGGTTCTATGAGTCTCAGCTTTCTCATCAAATGAGGCCAATAAATCCTACCTCCCAAGGTCTCCGTGAAAAAGGAAATAAATGTAAGAGTGAAAGCACTCAATGCAGGGCCAGCCCTGGAGTGGCTCAGTTGGTTACGGGCTCACTCATGAGTGAGGGCTCTGAGCAACAGCGGTTGGATACCCTGCCCGAGCTGAGCTGCCAACCGGTGGCAGGATGGCTCAGCTTAAAAAAAAAAAAAAAAAAAGGCACTCAATGTTACCTGTTATTATTATGATCCGGAAGTCTTTGCCAGCGGTTGTCCTTTACCTGACACTTACACTGCATTAGGTCCAGGCCTCAGACTCTATTTTCCAGAGATAATGGATGAAAGCCTGGAAATCTCTGAGTCACTCGCAGTCCCTCCTGAGGTATAATTAAAGGTGCTGAGAAAGTTCCACTCCCTCCCTCATGATGTCTTCCGCCTGGCTTACCCACACACATACGCCCAATGATGCGACAGCCGGCGATGGACGCGTGCACCACGGGGATGGTCTCAGCGAGCTCGCCCTCGAACACGCTGTAGGAACAATGGTCACAGGGCTGAGGAGGGTCTCAGCCCTCACTCTTCCGGAGCCCCCAACTTCCAGCGCCCCTCCCCGCCACCCATCCACACAACGCCCGCAGGCCACGGGGCTCCCGCCGCACCTGTAAAAGTTCTCTGACCCTCCGATGGCCACCAGGCAGTAGGTGTTGGTGAGTTTGGCAAAGCAGCCGATCTCACAGTTGTTCTCGAACGACGCTCGGACCGCCATGAGGCCTGGGACCTGTGGGGCCGAGAGTTCAGGGCGGGCGGATCCTCTCCAGTCACCGGGTTCTGGTCCTCAAGCCCCGGGCCCTGAGGCCCCACCCCTCTCGGCCCCTTCGGTCCTGCCCACTGCGTCCTTCCAGACTCTGTGGCCCCGAATCCTCCAGTCCCCACCACTCACGAGCCGGGCGCCCACGCTGACCCTTCCCGTCTCCCTCCACACCGACTCACCAGGTAACCGCAATCTCCACACGCGACAACAGACCTTTCTCCACCTTAACTAGTTTCCCATTTCCGCCTCCGCCTGGAAAACTTCCGGGACAGCCCAGGAAGTGGCAGCCCAGGACAGCCACTCAGCCACGTGTGCGGCCACTCTAGCTCCAAACCTCCGGGAGGACTCTATGGTTGCAAACT